ATGAAAATGAAACGAGCAATATAAAAAATTTAATGATCAATTTAAAGCAAGGGAAAAATTAATATGTTAGTTTTTTTATGTTCTTTAGTCATTTAATAGGTTGAAGAAGTAAAAACTTTATTAGTATTCTTAAATTATTATTATTTTTAACTATGCTTGTATTATTCAGATGGCATCTCAGGAAAACGATCGTCCACAAAGTACTAGTGCGGTGAAACGTAAATCTAAGGGAAAGAAAAAAGTTTCTGAGACTACAGGTTACGCTACCTCTCTACTTATATGCCTCTTACATATATACTAGAAGTCTTTTTGAATAACAATCATTTGAAATGATCATTAAAATCATGCATGACCACAACCTTTAAATCAACATCTTTTCGATAAATGAAATGTTTTATTCATGCATGTCATATGAGAAATCATAAATTACAACACAAAATGAAAAACTATTGTCGATGGAACTTCTATAACACATAGTGAAATAGTCAACCAAGACAAGCTCTAGTACTCAAAAGAATGAAGTAAATGCCTCTCTAAGATGTGGAGATCCTGCTCGTGCCTGATGTACTAAAAGAATCTGATATTTATTTATGTCCACAAGGTATGAATGAATTTTGCTTATACCATTTCAAAGCTTTTGCTATTTTGGTCTTCCCCTTTGCGTGTTGCATAGTCCATTGAAAGAAATTGGTCCAACAATTGGCGTAACATAGCATAACTGCAATCAGTTGAGTAATTTGGTCAAGAAACATCTAACATAATGACACTTAACAAATATATGATCCCTTGTTTCATCTTCCAGCTGGCAAAACATACATTTAGGGGTAGTTTGGTAGAGTGTATAAGAATAATGTAAAATATAGTGTATTAGTAATGCTTGTATTAGTCATGTTGAGATTTTTCTTATGCAGTGTTTGGTTTGATATACTAAAAATATCTTGAATTGCATAATTTTTTTTAAAAAAATATTTGTTTATGAAAATACCCTCCACAAATATAGTGGAAAGGATGTGGAGAAGTTTTTGAGGGACAATTGTGTCTTTAATCAAGCCAATGCATGCATGAGAACCCATTGCATTACTAATGTATAAAAATCCATGGTATTACTAATACACTCATCAGTACACAATATGGTGTATTACTAATACAAGCATTAGTTATATATTGGTTGAAAAAGCGTACCAAACAAGGTACCTAAAGCTAATGCATGCATTATTTTTCTCTAATACACTATCAAACGACCCCTTTGTCATCAATCGATCAACTGTTAGCAGTCTTCCATGGCATTGCAAATTCGCAACCACATTGTGAATTTTGTGTTGGTTTTTGTATAATTTTGAAACATTAACCCTCTCCAATTCATTCTTGGGTTATCTGGCAGTAGTTACAAGTAGATCTAGTAGATTAGACTTTTATGGGCTATGAATTGTGAACTCGTCCTTTAGGCACATCCCAAGGTCTTCTTGTCCTGTGTGGACCCTTACATACTTTGAGGCGAGAATACATTGTACTCTTAAGCTCATAATATTTTCCGAATTGATTATCAAAATATATGGATCTTTACAGGTACACAGAGTCAAAAGTTTGTAGAGGTTGGAACGCTGGATGCTTTGGGGAGGCTGGTTATTGCTCCTGCTGGGACTATTGGGTAAACAACAGTACTTCTGTTAGTTTTAGTTATTTAATATATGTTTTTACATGCGTTAAATTTAATGCAGGTTTATTCCCGGCTTCCAATCTGCAAATGCGATTATGGATTCCATTGTATCATGTTATCGAGACGCTTGGAGTTCCTGGGAAGAGGTACCTGTCTATTACAGAGAACAAATGTGGAATCACTTCAAGGTACAAATAGATTAATTCTTTATATTATTTATCAAATTACTTATTTCATCTAATGTTATAAATTATTTGCAGACGCAGTGTGCATGGTATCCCCAACATGAATATCATATATTTTGTAATTTTGAGATAAACGCTGCTTTTTTGCTTAACAAAACCTTGGAGAGTGCTTGGGAATTGAATCAGAAGCCCGATTGGATGCTAGAAGGTTTATGGGCTAGACTTATTGAAAAGAGGACCACTGAGAAATTTCAAAAACCGAGTATCCAAGCAAAGACACCAGGGACTCATCAAAGGAAATTGGTAACTTGTTTATTAAATTTTCCTTGATTTTAACTAAATGCGATTGAACTTTTAATGAACTTATATATTTTGTTTTGCAGGAGAAGAAAAAAAGGAGAACTATGGGTTATGATGAGGTCTCAAAGGAGAGACATGTGAAAAATAAAAAGGATGGTCATAATACTTTGGTGGAGCCACATGTTGAGAGGACAAATGTAAGATCTTAGCTTCAGAGCAGTTATCTTTTCCTTGACATGAATTTGTGTATATATTGCTTATCAGTCTTGTTTCAGGCTGGGTATAAAAAAGGTTTGGATGAATGGCGTCAAAGTCAACCTACTTCTGAGGATGATAGCTTAACCCAATTACCAGACGATGATGAAGCTTCAATATTGTCGAAGAAGATTGGTGGATTAAAGAAAGGTAAAGCACGCGTCCTTGGATCAGAGCATTGCGTAGGCTGTGTCACGTTCGGATTTGCTTCTGCTTCTTTAAGGTCTGGGCAGAATCAGGAAGAGATAGATTCAGAGATAAAATCATTGCGGATACAAGTACAAGAGCTATTGAAAAAGCAAAAAGCAGACCGTTTAAGACTTGATGGACTGGAGAATCTAGTGGTTCAGCTCATAGACAATTGCCGATCTGAAGAGTCTGACAATGATGAGTCTGATGGAGAAAAATAGTTTGTTGTGCTTTTGATGTTGAAACATTACTTGTTTGATTTCGTTTGGATATTACCTGAATGGGTTCTGAATGTCTAGACTTGCTTTTGGATCTTACTTGAATGGTGTTTTGGACGTTTTAGTTATAAACGTTTATGTTTAATTGTTCGAATTTTAGGAGATTTGATTGTTGGGCACAAACCATTTATGTTATTAAGCATAAAAGAGAAAGTGGTGGAAAAAAAAGTGTATCACGGAAGATAAAACAGGATAAGTAACTATTATGTGAACATTAACAGTTAAATCATTTTTCAAATTTACTTCAATAAGCTCGATAAGATGGAATTTTCTTAAGTTTAAACCTGATTTACCAATAAGAAATACTTAAAAAAACTTATTGCACAAATGACAAAATACCATAGACAAAAACTTTTCGTACTCTATATTTGTATCAAATCACACTAGGTATCAAATAGCAAATTGTACTGAGACGGAAGCACCTGCCCTGTTTAGTGAGTTCTCCCCACTGCATTACTTGGGAAAAGAGAAAGAAGAATATTACCACCAAAATAAGCCATTTCAGAAGAACAACACCAAACAAAAAAAATCTTTTCGACATTCCAATGGAAAAAGTGCGCGAAAATCGACGCTGCATTTATAAGTCATTACCGACGCAGATTTCCGACCACAGCCGTCGCAAAACTTAAATATATATTGGGAACAAAACCCTCATTTTTTCTCAATTCTCACTTCCTCGCCTCACTTTTTTTCTCTGCTGTTTCCTTGGCGATTCACCTCTTAGGACAGCGAAAGAAAGCCGTCCAGTAGCGCCGCCGTTGACGGCAGCACCACCGCTCAGTCGAGGTAAGTGGATTTTTTCCTTCTTCCACAGTTCTTCTCCAGGTTTACTATTTGTATGAGATTTTGAATAGATCTGGATCGATATCACCATTTTTTTCAAAGGTCCGTGTAGAATTTAGCTTTGATTAAGTTTTGTTCTTCTTTCTGGGTGTTGCTCATATGAAAATAGTAACTTGAATCGTTATAGTCTCTCTGCTTTGACTACTTAACTTCCCAACTTTGTTTATTGTATTTAGCATTAATGATTTTGGAACGTTGTTAATTTTATCTAACACAAAAGATAGAACCATCTATGTATTCTTTTCGGGCTATTGAGCAGAAGATGTTGATTACCCGGAATTGTATCTGAGTTCTTGTTCAAAAACCCCGGCTTATTTATGATCAAATGTATCTATGAAGAACTTATCCGTCAGTCTTTACTTGTAGCTCAAATCAACGAGATTATGAGGAAGATACATCCATGCCACACAAGAATGGAGATTCAATTGATGAACATAAAACAAGCGAGAAATAATTACTTGATGAAAATGAAACGAGCAATATAAAAAATTTAATGATGAATTTAAAGCAAGGGAAAAATTAGTATGTTAGTTTTTTTTTTATCTTCTTTAGTCATATAATAGGTTGAAGAAGTAACAACTTTATTAGTATTCTTAAATTATTATTATTTTTAACTATGCTTGTATTATTCAGATGACATCTCAGGAGAACGATCGTCCACAAAGTGCTAGTGCAGTGAAACGTAAATCTAAGGGAAAGAAAAAAGTTTCTGAGACTACAGGTTACACTACCTCTCTACTTATATGCCTCTTACATGTATACAGGAAGTTTTTTTGAATAACAATCATTTGAAATGATCATTAAAATCATGCATGACCACAACCTTTAAATCAACATCTTTTCGATAAATGAAATGTTTTATACATGCATGTCATATGAAAAATCATAAATTACAACGCAAAAAGAAAAACTATTGTCTATGGAACTTCTATAACGCATAGTGAAATAGTCAACCAAGACAGGCTCTAGCAGGGGCGGATTTACGTTGAACGAAGGGGGTTCATTCGTCGAAAAATTACACTATATATATAAGATTAAAATTTTAATATATGTGTATATATATACTATTGAACCCCCTGAACATACACCAAAGGCGTAGCTCAGTGGCGTTGGGGGTTCAGGAATTCGCTCTACTGCACGCGAGGCTGATTGGGAATTTAGGATTTATTAGTTTAATCCCTAATTATAACGTCAAATATTAAAAAACCCTTTTCTTCTTGATTCGACCGTTTAATCCGACCCGTTTATTTGTGGATATTATTTACGTGATTAATTTTTTTTTGAACCCCCTTGATGAAAATCCTCCCTCCGCCACTGGGCTCTAGTACTCAAAAGAATGAAGTAAATGTCTCTCTAAGATGTGGAGATCCTGCTCGAGCCCGAGTAAAGAATGAAGTAAATGTACTTAAAGATTCTGATATTTCTTTATGTCCACAAGGTATGAATGAATTTTGCTTATACCATTTCAAAGCTTTTGCTATTTTGGTTTTCCCCTTTGCGTGTTGCATAGTCCATTGAAAGAAATTGGTCCAAGCAATTGGCGTAACATAGCATTACTGCCATCCGTTGAGTAATTTGGTCAAGAAACACTTAGCATAATGACACTTAACAAATATATGATCCCTTGTTTCGTCTTCCAGCTGGCAAAACATACATTTAGGAGTCGTTTGGTAAAGTATATAAGAATAATGCAAAATATAGTGTATTAGTAATGCTTGCATTAGTAATGCTTGTATTAGTTATGATTGCATTAGTTATGATTGCATTAGTTATGCTGAGATTTTTCTTATGTAGGTTTGGTTTGATGTACCAAAAATATCATGCATTGCATAACTTTTTTTTAAAAAATATTTGTTTATAAAAATACCCTCCACAAATATAGTGGAGAGGATGTTGAGAAGCTTTTAAGGGATAATTGTGCCTTTAATCTTGCCAATGCATGCATTAGAACCCATTGAATTACAATGCATAGAAATCCATGGTATTACTAATATACTCCTCAATACACAATAGAGTGTGTATTACTTATACAAACATTAGTTATACATAGGTTGAAAAAGTGTACCAAACAAGGTACTAGTAATACCTAAAGCTAATGCATGCATTATTTTCTCCAATACACTCTACCAAACGACCCCTTAGTCACCAATCGATCAATTGTTAGCAGTCTTCCATGGCATTGCAAATTCGCAACCACATTGTGAATTTTGCGATGGATTTTGCATAATTTTGAAACATTAACCCTCTCCAATTCATTCTTGGGTTATCTGGCAGTAGTTACAAGTAAATCTAGTGGATTAGACTTTTATGGGCTATGAACTGTGAACTTGTCCTTTAGGCACATTGAACTATCCCAAGGTCTTCTTGTCCTTGGGTGGACTCTTACATACTTCAAGGCGAGAATAATTATACTCATAATTTTTCTCACATTAATTATCAAAATTTATGGATCTTTACAGGTACACAGAGTCAAAAGTTTGTAGAGGTTGGAACGCTAGATGATTTTGGGAGGCTGGTTATCGCTCCTGCTGAGACTAATGGGTAAACAATACTTACGTTAGTTTTTAGTTATTGGATATATGCTTTTACATATGTTAAATTTAATGCAGGTTTTTTCCCTCCCTCGAATCTATGAATATGATTATGGATTCTATAAAGTCATTTTATCATGATGCTTGGAGTTCCTGGGGCGAGATACCTGTCTTTGACAGAGAGCAGATGTGGAATCACTTTAGGGTACAAATAAATCAATTCTTTATATTATTTATCAAATTACTTTTTTTCATCTAATGTTATTAATTATTTGCAGACGAAGTGTGCATGGTATCCCGAACATGATTATAAGATGTTTTGTAATTTTGAGCTAAACGCTATGTATATGTTTAACGATATCTTGGAGAGTGCTTGGGAAAAGAATCAGAAGCCTGATTGGATGCCAGAAGGTATTTGGGCTAGTCTTAATGAAAAGTGGACCACTGCAAAATTTCAAAAGACGAGCATCAAAGCAAAGGCACCACGAGCTTCCAACAAGGGTGACTCGTTGCACATCGGGGGTTCAGCTAGTATGGGAACTCATCAAAGGAAATCGGTAACTTTTTTATTGAATTTTCCTTGATTTTTACTAAATGTTGTTGAACTTTTAACCAACTCATATTTTTGTTTTGCAGGAAAAGAAAAAAGGGAGAACTATGACTTATGATAAGGTCTTAGAGGAGAAACAGGTGAAAAAGAAAAAGGATGGTCATGGTACTTTGGTGGAGCCACATGTTGAGAGGACAAATGTAAGATCTTAGCCTCAGAGCTGTTATCTTTTCCTTAACATGAATGTGTTTATATATATTGCTTATCATTCTTGTTTCAGGTTGGGTATAAAAGAAGCTTGGATGAATGGCGTCAAAGTCAACCTACTTCTGAGGATGATAGCTCAAAACAATCCTCAGACGAGGATGAAGCTTCAATATTGCCGAAGAAGATTGGTGGAGTAAAGAAACGTAAAGCAAGCGGCCTTGGATCAGAGCACTGTGTAGGCTGTATCACGTATGGATATACTGCTGCTTCTTTAAGTTCTCCGTTGAAACAGAATGAGGAAGAGATAGATTCATTGCGGATACAAGTACAAGAGTTGTTGAAAAAGCAAAAAGCAGACCGTTTAAGATTTGCTGGACTGGAGAATCTAGTGCGTCATCTCATAGACAAATGCTGATATGATGAGCGTGACAATGAGTCTGATAGGAGCATCAGTTTGTTGTGCTTGTGATGTTGAAACATTTACTTGTTTGGTTCCGTTGGGATATTACTTGAACGGTGTTTGGATGTTTTAGTCTTGCTTTTGGATGCTCTACTTGAATGGTGTTTGGATGTTTTAGTTATAAACGTTTATGTTTAATTGTTGGAATTTTAGGAGGTTTGATTTTTGGGCACAGAGCAGAAAGAATGAAATATTTTCTAAAACTTGCTTTCCATCCAAAATATATATTGGTAAATAATTGTGTGGTTAAAAAATCACGTCATTAAACATAAGATGGATAGCTTTTGGTTAAAAAAAAGTGTGTCATGCAAGATAAATAAAAAAGTAAGTAACTGTTATGTGAAAATTAATGGTTAATCATTTTTCAAATTTACTTCAATGAACTTTAAAGATCGAACTTGTTAGGTTTAAACTTGATTCACCAATAAGAAATATTTGAAATGTAAGTAACTGTTATGTGAAGATTAATGGTTAATCAATTTCCAAATTTACTTCAATGAACTTGAAAGATTGAACTTGCTAGGTTTAAACCTGATTCACCAATAAGAAATATTTGAAATTTATTACACAATTGACAAAAACATCTAAGGTAAAAATTTGCACTCGATATTTATATCAAATTATATTAATTAACTATGATTAAGTTATAAATTAAGGTAAAATATGTATTAATAAACTATGATGTAGTTATAAGAGTGGTATGTGAAGCTATGTGTCATATTCATTAGATTTGTGTAAACGTTTGTAATTTTCTTTAGAACAACTAATAAGCACCATTTATGTTTCGCATAAACTCTCCTCTCCCAATTCTAAATTGTAGCAAGTATCACAGAAAATGCTCATCATATATAACTCCAGTACCTTTTTGTTGTCAAGTATCCTGATTCTACTTGAGCTTCAAGCTAATATTGACAATCATCAGTCTTCTTCCTGAATATGACACACTTGATACAATTCTTTATCAGACATTGGTGGTTTGAACATTTGCATCGCCTAGAACCAAAAGATAGTTATTTGATCCATAATTAATACTATTATATACGACACAGGTTGGCACTGATGAATATATTGAAGTAATGAAGTGAGTTTCGACAAATTGTTGTAGCCAAGAAATTAGGAACAGAGGAAAAAAGAATACTACAAAATAAGCCATTTCAGAAGAACAAGACCAATTATAAACTGTTTGGTATTCCGACGGAAAAAAAGCGACGTAAACATTGCGAAAATCGAGGCCGTATTTATAAGCGATTACCGATCAATTTTCCGACTTGAAGTGGTCGAAAAACTTATATATACATTGGGAGCAAACCCTCATTTCTCAACTCTCTCTTCCCCATCTCTCACTTTTTCTCTACTATTTCCTTGCCGATTCACCTCTTTCGACAGCCAAAGAAAGCCGTCCAGCCGCGCCACCGTTCACGGCGGCACCACCGCTCAGTTGAGGTAAGTATAATTTTCCTTCTTCCACAGTTTTGCTCTCACTTTTTAAGGTTTACTATTTCTATGAGATTTTGAATAGATCTGGATAGATATCACCATTTTCTTCAATGTTCCGTGTAGAAATTAGCTTTGAATCCTTATAGTCTCTGTTTTTGACTAATTAACTTGTGAACTTTGTTTATTGTGGAGTATTCAGTAATGAGTGAGCAGAAGCTGAGTGCATGTTCAAAATTTCCAGCTTATTTCTAATCAATTGTATCTTTGAAGAATTTATCATTTAGTCATTACTTGTAGCCCAAATCAACAAGACTATGAGTAAGATACATCCATGCCACACAAGAATGGAGATTCAATCGATGAACATAAAACAAGGGAGAAATAATTACTTGATGAAAACGAAACTAGCTATATAAAAAATCGAATGATCAAAAGTTAGCAAGGGAGAAATTAAGATGTTAGTCTTTTTTATGTTCTTTAGTCATCATATAATAGATTGAAGAAATAACAACTTTATTAGTATTCTTAATTTTTTAATTTTTTTTAACCATTCCTGTATTATACAGATGGCATCTCAGGAAAACGATCGTCCACAAAGTGCTAATGTAGTGAAACGTAAATCTAAGGGAAAGAAAAAAGTTTCTGAGACTACGGGTTACACTACCTCTCCACTTGCAGGTCACACTACACTTTACTTATATGCCTCTTACATGTATTCAAAAGTCTTTTCGAAATACAATCATTTGAATCATGCATAACACAAATATTTAAATATACCTTTCGATAAATGAACTGTTTTATTCATGCATGTCATATGACAAATCATAAATTACAATGCAAAAAGAAAAACTGTTGTTTATGGATATAACTCTTAGTGAGATAGTCAACCAAGACAGGCTCTAGTACTCAAAAGAATGAAGTAAATGTCTCTCTCTAATTATTAGTGTGGAGTCACACTAAAAGTATTGAGGAGATGTGGAGTTGTCCTATTCGTGAGGCTCATGCTGCTCGAGCTTTGCCCTCAAAGATTCTGATATTTCTTTCTATCCACAAGCTTTGCCCTCAGAGCTTTTTCTATTTTGGTCTTCCCTTGTGTGTAACATAATCCATTGAAAGCAGTTGACATAACATAGTATAACTGCATCCAGCCAGTTGAGTAATTTGATCCATAAACACCTAGCATGATGGCACTCAAGAAATATATGATCCCTTGTTTCACCTTCCACCTGGCAAAACACAAAATTAGTCACCAATCGATTGACTATTAGCAGTCTGCCATGGCATTGCAAATTCGCAGCCACATTGTGAATTTTGTATTGAATCTTGCATAATTCTGAAACATTAATCCTCTCCAATTCATTCTTGGGTTATCTGGCTGTAGTTACAAGTAAATATGGTGGATTAGACTTTTATGGTCTATGAATTATGAACTTGTCTCTTAGGCACATTGAACTATACCAAGGTCATTTTGTCCTTGTGTGGACCCTTAGTTATCAAAATTTATGGATCTTTAATTTACAGGTACACAGAGTCGAAATATTGGAGAGGTTGGAACGCTGGATGCTTCGCGGAGGCTGATTATCGCTCCTGCTGAGACTATTGGGTAAACAGTAGTACTTTTGTTAGTTTTTAGTTATTGAATTATGTTTTTACCTATGTTAAATTTAATCCAGGTTTTTGCCCTCCACCCAATCTCTAACTGTGATTATGGATTCCATTAAATCATTTTATCGTGACACTTGGACTTCCTGGGGAGAGATACCTGTGTATGACAGAGAACAAATGTGGAATCACTTTAAGGTACAAATAAGTTAATTCTCTATATTGTCATCAAATTACTTTTTTACATCTATTGTTAGTAAATTTTTGCAGACTAATTGCGCATGGCATCCCCAACATGATTATGTAACATTTTATAATTATGGGAGAATCGCTTCTTTTATGCTTGATGATTGCTTGCGGTGTGCTCGGGAAATGAGTCAGAAGCCCGATTGGATGCTAGAAGGTATATGGGCTAGACTTAATGAAAAGTGGACCACTGAGAAATTTCAAAAGACGAGCATCCAACATGTTGTGAAAAATAAGAAGGATGGTCGTAGTACTTTGGTCGAGCCATATGTTGAGACAAATGTAAGATCTTAGCTTCAGAGCTATTATTGTTTCCTTTCATGAATTTGTTTGTGTATTGCTAGTTTATCATTCAAATTTTCAGGTTGGGTTAAATGAATGGCGTCAAAGTCAACCTACTTCTGAGGATGATAGCTCAAACCAATCGCCAGACGATGATGAAGCTTCAATATTGTCGAAGAAGATTGATGGAGTAAAGAAAAGTAAAGCAAGCGGCCTTGGATCAGAGCATTGCGTAGGCTGTATCACGTATGGATATACTGCTGCTTCTTTAAGTTCTCCGTTGAAACAGAATGAGGAAGAGATAGATTCATTGCGGATACAAGTACAAGAGTTGTTGAAAAAACAAAAAGCAGACCGTTTAAGACTTGCTGGATTGGAGAATCTAGTTCGTCATCTCTTTGACGAATGCTGATATGACGAGTCTGACGATGAGTCCTGATGGGGAGAATTAGTTTGTTGTGCTTGTGATGTTAAAACATTTACTTGTTTGATTTCGTTGGGATACTATCTCAATGGTGTCTGAATGTCTAGACTTGCTTTTAGATGTCACTTGAATTGTGTTTGGATGTTTTGGACTTGCTTTTGGATGCTATACCTGAATGCTGTTTGGATGTTTCAGTTATAAGCGTTTATGTTTAATGCTTTGATTGTTGAGCAGTAAGTCTTGAGAAAAAATGAAAGATTTTTTTAAACTTGTGATTTAAAATAGTAAATGCCACTTATGTGGCTAAAAATCATGCCATTAAGAGTTAAATGGTTAGCTTAAAGATAAATTTGTCATTGAATATATACAAAGGCATGTAATAAAAAAACTACTCGATGCTTATATTAAACCGTACTAATTTATTATAATTGTCATAAGTTAAAAGTTAAATGTATATTAATTAACTACTATAATTTAGTTATAAGAGTGGTATGTGAAGTCATGTGTCATATATCATTAGGTACGTGCGAGTAAAGTTCTATAAAACACCTAAAAAGCACCACATCTGATAGTTAGAACCAACGCAGCTGTTCAAATACGCCCAATTCTAAATGTATCATATATATATATATAAAAGAGAACCCTAGGCCCACCTACGTGGCGCCATCACAAACAAGAATTCCCTTTTAATTTATTTATTTACAAAACTAGTCTTCCCCTTTCATGAAAAGTTGTGACTTTTAAGAAAAGTTACGACTTTTTTGAAAAATTGTAACTTGTATGAAAAGTAGTGACTTTTATGAAGAGTTGCAACTTTTATGAAAAAAATTGATTTTTGTGAAACATTGTGACTTTTCCGAAGAGTTGTAACTTTTCCAATGAGTTGTGACCCTTTCGACAAGGCACAATAAGAATTTGTTAAACACTATCATTTGTTGTCTATCAATAGAGGGATTTCCTGTCACTATTATTTGTAGGTTTTTTTCCCCTTGCAATTTCTTTTTGCAAGGGAAATTGCAAAAAGAGATCTTTGGTTCTTTAGTAAACAAATCTTTTATTTCCGCCACTATTATTTGTAGGTTTTTTTGCAATAAGACAGTCAAATATATATACATTTATTAAGCTTCGTATGAAGTGTGTTCCATTTCTCAAAGCTTTCTTCCTCCTATTTTATGAATCTTAATCTTTTACCTTAAGTCATAGTGA